TTAGTGAGTGAGAAAATGGTGGCCAAAGTTTGGTGGCTTCCAAAGCTTGAGAATCCTTTGTATCTATAAATTTACCTTCTTTGTGCCTTGAATCGTTTTTCAGTAAAATCCACACTGAATATGTGTTTTTACAAGGACAGAAAAGATGTTGAGCAAAAAAAAATAAAGCGAAATTTTAAAATAAAAATTGCAGAACAGGCAGAAAAAAGGCCGGTTTCTTCAATTTCATTATTATTTTTGAGCTCCTGATTTCACCACGATGCCCCACATGTTATATAAAAGATATGTGTACATTTATATATATATATATAATGTGTGTATGCGCGCTCCCTTGTATGTGAATTTTTTCACTCAATTTCATTTTTTCCCCTGAACAATATCATTCTTCCAAAACTGCATTATGGTACGCCATGTTTGTGTGCGCTTTTTGCTCTGGAATATGCCTCAAGTCAGATCTGGAACTGCTTTCAGAAATTTGTGCGCCATTGTTTCCCCCACTTTCAATGCTTTTCATTGCTGTTGCTGTTCACTAGTTAAGTCCATGCTGCTAGACTGGCAAACTGTCGCTACTTGAGACACCAGTCCATGCTAAAGTACTGAGTCACCTGTGTAAAACTAAAAGGACAGCTTTGACATCATCTTTGTAGGTCTATAAAAAGGCCATTCCTGTTCTTTATGAAATACACAATAATGATATAATGTTGTCAGCTTTATGCTGCCTTTCTCTTCCAATTGATATTGTATTGTTTCCAGCAGCAACACTTACTTTGTGTGCTGTCAAAGACATTGTTTTCCAAGGGAAACACGGCTGAAACGGCCATCTGAATATTTATTGTTGCCAGACATTTTTTGTTTCTTTCATTTTCAATGTCACAAGGTGTGTGTGTGTGTGTGTGGGGGGGGGGGGGGGGTTTCGTTCGTCATATGAAATAGGAAAAGACTGATACCCTCCATGTTCCTGAAATATGATTACATTATGAATGTCTTTAATCGTATTTGTGATAAACCTGTGATGTTTCTTTCATTGCTTTTATTTAATAATAAACCTGTTTACGGAGCAATAAGACAGACTTCAGAAACATTATTGTATTATCTTTCTACTGACAAAACCACTTGTGGAGCATTCCAACTCCAGACACCTCATTTGTTATATTGAATGACTTGCACTCTGCCTGGCAAGGGAAGACAACAGAAGAAAGAGATGTATCTTTCTTAGAAGCCCTTGAATCCTTCATCCGCCTTGGTTCTTGGGATTTCCCCCGGCGCAGGGGCCTATTTAAGCCCGCCACAGTTAAAAGGGTGCGCCCGTCTTGAGATGGTCTCAAGACCAACTGAACGCGATCTCAAGATAATCTCAAGACCCAAATCCAGACTGCTCAGTTAAACATCTCAACAAACCGTGAGATCGCTTGAATTCAGAACCAGCCTGAAAATTATCCGACGGATTGGAGATCAGGGTACTCAACGCCAAAAATAAAAGGATGCCAACGTCAAAAGCAAATCTGACTTCAGAATCTTCATCTCCGTCAAATTCTAGTGGGATTTGATATGAAACACTGCTATCAAACGTTTGATGTAGTAATATTAATAACTTATTCGTTGCGTGAGCCAGCTAGTTGTTTTTTTTCAAATACAGTAGATCTATGCGGTTGAATTGTATTGAATGCTGAGGAAAAATCAACGTATATGAGGGTACTATTTGTTAATTTTTCCTCAGTGTTCAATACAATTCAACCGCATGAATATTGTCATTTAAAAACAATCGAGTCAATTGTTGTCATTATATCGCAGCATGGGTCCTGGAATTTTTGACAGGCAGATCACAGTATGTTAATCTGACACAATCCTGCAAGAACAGACAGAGAAATTCATTTGTACCAACTGCATACAATGCTACAAATAAAATATAGAGAGATAGGTAGAGAGGAGAGAGATAAAGAGAGAGAGAGAGAGAGAGAGAATGTTTTCGGAGTGGGTTGTTTCAGCATGTGAGACATGTAGCCTACTTTTCTAATGTCCTGTCTTGTGCTTTGTGAGTGCACCATATCCACTGCTATTGTAAACAGCCATTTTGATAATCTGCTGGTCTGTGTAGTGTGTGGGCACAAATGAGATCGCTAACGGATCCGATTGTCAGTTCATCTTGAGGTCATCTTGAGACCATCTTGAGATCATCTCAAGACCATTTCGAGTTAATTTTAGATCGGGAACTGCGCAGTGAGTGGCGGCTTTACCTGCGGCATTGAAGGGGTTAACCTAATGCAACGTTATGACAGAACAGATGGACAATTGTTTTTGTCAGTGACTTGTGGACAATGAAAACTATTAGAGACGCCTACAGCACCAATACGACACAAAGTATTTTGTTGTTGTTCTCACATTTACATTGTCCTCAACTCGCTGACAAGGCAGCTGGCCAACTGTTTCGTTGTTGTGTGGGGCTGGGCTTTTTCCCCCCATTAGGGAAACACTTTGGTATTTTACTAAAGACACATTTCTCAAAGACTGGAACTCAAAAGGCATAAGTGACTTGAACAACTACTTTATTCTGAGCTTTCAGCTAGTTATTAGAATTTGGAAGCAATCAACTGTTCTGTGGGTGTTTTTTTTTCCATAGAACTTCTCATCTCAAAACCCATTGAATATGATTATATTTTTAAAGAAAAAAAAATTGACCAAACTTAATTTCTGATATTATGCTCTAAATTCACCTGTTGCTATAAATGATTATGCAAAATGAAAGAAGAACCCCCTCCCCCCAAAAAACAACATTAGAGCTCAGCCAATCCCAAGCTGAAACTCAGCCCAATCCTACTCTTCAAAATATGATCCACAAACAGGCATGCCTTCATGAAAACTTTCAAACATTTTTCTGTCACATAACACTAGCCGGG